TTTCTTTCTTTCTTTCTTTCTTTCTTTCTTTCTTTCTTTCTTTCTTTCTTTCTTTCTTTCTTTCTTTCTTTCTTTCTTTTTGTCAGTCATGGGGCCTGAACTCTGGGCCTGGGTGCTGTCCTTCAGCTCTTCAACTCAAGGCTAGCGCTCTACCACTTGAACCACAGCGCCACATCCAGCTTTTTCTCTGCTTATATGGTGCTGAGGAATCAAATCCAGGGCCTTATGCATGCAAGGCAAGTGCTCTACCACTGAGCCACCTTCCCAGCCCCAAAATGTACTGGACTTCAATAACACTAAAAATGGTGAAGAATCAGCTTAAATATGTAGAAGTAATGCTCAGCCTCCCTAGCCATAAAAGAAATGCAAATCAAAACAACATTGAGATACTACCTTACCCCAGTTAGAATGGCAAAAATCAAAAACTCTAACAACAACAGATGCTGGAGGGGATGTGGACAGAAGGGAACCCTACTGCATTGTTGCTAGGAGTGTAAAGTTGTTCAACCACTTTGGAAAGTAGTATGGAGGTTCCTCAAAAGACTCCACATAGAACTCTCCTATGATCCAGCAATCCCAATTTTGGGCATTTACCCAAAGGATCACAAACAAGCCCATACTAAAGCTATCAGCACCACTACGTTTATTGCAGCATTATTTACCATAGCTAAGATATGGAACCAACCCAGATGCCCCTCAATAGATGAATGGATCAAGAAAATGTGGTATGTATACACAATGGAATTCTATGCCTCCATCAGAAAGAATGACATTGCCCCATTTATTAGGAAATGGAAAGACTTGGAAAAAATTATATTAAGTGAAGTAAGCCAGACCCAAAGAAACATAGGTCCCATGGTTTCCCTTATTTGCAGTAACTAGTATATGTCTGAGACAAGCAGGAATGGTCAGATAAGTTGATGTTAGGCAAAATGAACCCCAAGATAAGGATTCAAATGTTTTTTCTTTCTTACGATTGTTTCTAACATATTTATAAGATGATTTCTTTGTTGCTTTGTATGTCCCTCTCCCACAATATAACCCCTGTTTTCACTGTATTTGATGTTGGTATAATTTGTGGAGGGGAAGGGAAAAAACAAATCATTTAAATAGGGATACAGATTGACCCACTGCAACAATGAGATGTACAAGACGTTATGTCGAAAAATGAACTTTACAACTTTGGGGGAGGTGTCGTGGGGTGGGGGAGATGGGAAGGGTTGAGAAGGGGAAACAAAGGAGGAGGCAACAATTCTTGATAAGAAATGTACTCATTACCTTGTCCATGTAATTATAACCCTTCTGCACGGTATTTTCACAATTAAAAAATAAAAGTAAAGGAGGAGGCTACAATGCTTGATAAGAAATGTACTCATTATCTTGCCCATATAATTGTAACCCCTCTGTACAGTATTTTCACAATGAAAAAGAACTGTGTTAATAATACTGTGCAAAAAATGAAATAACATAAAATAAAAATAAAAACAACAACAAATTTTTAAATCACAATATTAGACCTGATCTCAATTAAGTCTGGTTTAACTGTGTAGAGTCCACACACACACACACAAAAACCCAGTAACAACAAAAACTACAAAAGAAACAAATCACCAAATACAAGTCAGTAATAAAGTATTTGTTATCTTGAGTTTTCTTTTTGCTTTCCTTTTCTGAAGAGAAATCTAAATAATCACATAATTTTTTTATAAATAGCAATCCTATAAGAGCTGTCATGTTATTAGGTAGTCATCTAATTAAAAAGCTTCTATGACTTCATTTTTCAGAAATTAACTGTCCATTTGGCAATCTCAAGTGGAGAAAACTATTTACAAATTCATACAAGCTGTTGAATTTACTATTTCACTCATGACCATTGTAAAATGGGGATAGTTTGGCTCACTTACATTTGTTCTTGTCCTCCACTTTTCTCCAGAAAGATTAAAAAACAAAGTATTCCCAAAGGACCCATGGCTGAAGGGCTCATAAAACTATGGATATAAGCTTCATGAACTACTTTCCTTTTAAATAAATTGAGCTTGAAATTTTTGAATAAATTTGTTCTCTGGTTAATTATTAATGTCATATAAAAGGATTCTTAAGTAAGAAAATTAAAATGAGGAATTAAGACCTCTTTTCATGTCCAGGAATAAATAAGGAGGTAATTTTATAAGAATTTATACTTACGGTACTTATTTCTATTAAGATAAATAAAAGGACTGTACAATCAGAATTTGGCTCTATGAACAGGGGCTCAATCCCCAAAACCAGGAAGTTACATTGCCTTCAGCTTTTCTTCTCTAGAAGAAAACATGGTTTTTGCTCTGAGGTTAGATTAACTTTGAACATGGTTGTGCTGGTCAGTTTTTCATTGCTGTGACAAATTATCTGAGGAGCAAAGATTTATTTAGGCTCTTTTTCAGTGGCTCCATTGTTTCTAGAGCTGTGATTAGTAAGGCAGAATGTAACAGTGGAAAGCATTGGAAGAGCAAAGTAACCCATCACATGGCAAACAGCAAGCTGAGAGAGACAGGCAAGCAGAGGCTAATGTCAATGTATGCTTACTTGAAAGCCCTAGTACAAGGGACCTACTTCCTCCAGCCAAGACCACCCAATTATGACTCCATCATTGGCATAAACAACTAAAAAAAAAAATGAAAGTCCTTGTGATCCAATCACTTCCATATAGCTAATCAGTTAGTAACTAAGCCTTAGTAATATAAAAGCATCATGGGAAATTTCAGATTCAAACCAATGCCTCTGATAGATCTCTCTTCTTTATAATACCGATAAAGGCCCACCTGGATTTTGTTTCAAACTGACATGTTTTTAGAATTTATCTCCATTAGTTTAGGTTTTCTAGGTGGTCTTTTATTAAAAAGATCTAAGTAGTTATGTCCTTGGTATTGTAAATGGTCTAAGGATAACCTAGATCTATAAAAAGAGATTAAGAGAATAGTTCATTAGACTGCCCACTATAAAGAAGGAACTGGACATTAGTTGGAGAAAAGATTGGGACTGGCAAGGACAATGTCATGCTTAAGGAGGCTGCCATTATCACCTTCATAATCAAACCGATATTTAGTAGAGAATCCTATCCTCCAATATCTACATTCATTTGTATGCCACTCACACATTGAAAACTTTGCATTCATTCACACATAGAATAGCTTTCTTTTGATGAATTCATACCTTTCAATGAAGGTTTCAATAATTTTAATATGAGCTTAAGATGAACAAAACTTCCTATAAGAACTGACTCTAGAAACTAACAAATAATATTTTACAATGGTTTATTTTTATGATGTTTTCTATTCATTAGGAAAAATTAAGGGAAGGGGGATCAGGAGGGGAAAAAGTGAGAGAAAATGAGGGAGAGAGTAACACTGTTCAAAAAGAAATGTACTCATTATCTGACTTACGTATATCACCCCCTGACTTATGTATATCACCCTTACAATAAAACTTAAATTAAAAAAAATCTTTACCCCTTTTTCTTTGCTGATCCTGGGGTTTGAACTGGGCATCTTTTCTGAGCCTCTTTGTGCTTTGAGTAGTTCATGGACTTCCCGACCTCGCTTTGAACTGCAGTCCTCAAATCTCAATTTCCTGAGTAGCTAGGATTACAGGTATGAACCACTGGCACCTGGCTTTAACCCTTTTTTTAAATTATTAATCATGTGCTTTTGTATATAATGTGTTCACTATTTAAAATAAATGACTTAAGCATATATTCTATAAACAGGTATTTATAATCACATTGGCATCCCATGCTTTGAGTTAGTATGGCCCTCATTACTAATTTAATTACTAATTTTGCTTTGATCCCAAAGCAAAATTTTATATATAAGTTTAACTAATGTTGTCTGTTACATGTGTCACTAAAATGGAAAAAAAAATCTGCCACTTTGACCACTTAGTCCATTTGTTTTAACAGGAAATCTGAACAATGATTAAGCTGGGTTGTGAAAGATGGATAAAGTTAAAACAAACAAAGTGCTCTTTCCATCATTTTCGGGAAACTTAGAGAAAGAACACTCCAGTCAACATACTAGTGTTTGTATTATAAAGACAAAGAAGTTTGCTGTCCTATGGGTAAATAGCAAAAACTAGTATTTGTAAATCATTGGCATATTTCTCTAGTAGAAAATGTTTAGAGAATAACGTTGCTCAGTAGAATTGAAGTTCTATTTAGTCTATATATTCTTGGTTGTGTTTAGCCAAAATTGGTTCTATACATCTTCCAAACAGGAAGGATAGACCTTCCAAAAGGATAGGTTGCTCTTTATATTTTTGAAATGTGAAGTTTGGGCAAGGCTTTGTTTTTTTATCTTTCTTTTTTTCTTTGTACAAATACTGCATTTCTAAGAGAGAAAAATCTCAGATCTGGCAGAAATTTTCATGGTCCTGTTATTACTAACTGGATTCTGCCCTCAAAAGTGGAGTCCAAATGACTCAACCTGGTTCAGAGAGTCCTTCTGGTCTGGGACCTGTTTAGTTGTGCAGCCTCAGCATTCTCATTCTTCACTCCAGCCAAGTAGCAGAATTACCTGACTATCCTGAAAGTTCCCTCGATATGAAATTACACCCAGAGGGGTAAAAAAAATTGTGTTATCCCACTGCCATTTTAAAAATAATTAGTTATTTCATATTTATTTAGTCAAAATGAAAAGAGCAGGAACAAATTTTCAATTCACACAAACTATTGACCTCTTTTGTGCATGATAAAAAGATTGTATTGCGCACGATTTTCAAAACCAAACAACTTGTAGGGAGGCAATATTAATGGGTTATAAATCTAGAAAACAACTCAAAAACACTTTTGTGTATTGTCATTTTCAGAATTTCATAGTAGAATTTTCTATTGCTAACTTTAGGAACCTGCTACCTAGCTAGTACAGGAGAAGTAAAGTGGCCCAAAAGCACCCCGTGTGTCATTTTCATGAACCTGAGTATGGAGGCCATTTCCTCAAACACCATTCAAAATTGAGGCCTGAGAGTCATGCAAGTTAGGTTCATAAGTGGTATATAAACACTGGATGATTCTGAGCATAAGAGAACATCTGTCCTTTGACCCGCCTCTTGGCTCAAGCTTCTAGTGTCAGGTCTTGACAATATTCTTATTCATCTTACACTATAGATACTTTATGTTTTCATAAATAGGAGCAATATGGATTCCTGCTACCAGCACTGCAGAAGCCAGTGTACTCAAAGTCTTTTTTTAGTTGCTTCCCCCTCTTTTTTTTTCCTTTGTGCAGGTAGAGGGATTTGAACTAAGGGCCTCGTGCTCTTATTTGTTTTATTTCGCTCAAGGCTGGCACTGAGCCACCTGAGCCATGCCTCCAGTTCTGAAGTGCTTTCCCCTTGCTGTCAGCATGAAAAGGAATCTTAGAGATAAGATAGTTAGGGAAATTTAGAATTTAGAATTAAGTATATCTCCTTACTCAGTAGTTTTCGGTGTAGTTTATGTATTTCTATGAGCTTAAAAACATATTTTGTTTACAAACATCCACTGAAAGTAGTTTCATAGGCAAGTTTGTAGGGACCTAGAGTGGAGCTGCTGCAATAGCTCCAGCAGCAACATTGGGACAGACCTGCTATTAACCCATTCTCCCCACTGGCACCTCAGGTAGCCTTTCAGGGGGTGGCAGGTCTTGGGGGGGGGTGCTGCAGAAGGGTGAGAGAAAGGAGAAATGACAGGAGCAAATATTATCAAAATATATTTTACATATGTATGAAAAAAGCATAATGAAACCCCACTAAAACTGTTCAAAAGGAGAAGTAGTAGTAATAAGAGTAATAGAATTTGAATTTGATTATAATGTATTACATGCATGTACCTACATATCACAATGAAATCTTTTTGTTTCATTAATTTAGGCTAATAAGACTTTTCAAAATAGCTGGGTGAGGGTGGCTCACACCTATAATCCTAGCTATTCAGGAGGCTGAGATCTGAGGATTGTGGTTCAAAGCCAGCCTAAGGAGTAAAGTCTGTGAGACTCTTAATCTCCAATAAACCACCAGAAACCAGAAGTGGCACTGTGGCTCAAGTTGTAGAGCACTCACTTTGAGCTGAAGAGTTGAGGGACAGAGCCCAGGCCCAGAGTTCAAGCCCTATGACCAACAAAAAACAAAACAAAACAAAACATAAAACCCGGGCTGGGAAGGTGGCCTAGTGGTAGATTGCTTGCCTAGCATGCATGAAGCCCTGGGTTCAATTCCTCAGTACCATATATACAGAAAACGCTGGAAGTGGTGTTGTAGCTCAAGTAGTAGAGTGCTAGCCTTGAGCAAAAGAAGCTCAGGGACAGTGCCCAGGCCCTGAGTTCAAGCCCCATGACTGGCCAAAAAAAAAAAAACATAAAACCCCACACTTTTCAAAATAAATAAATAGGCCAGGCACCAGTGGATCATGCCTGCAGTGCTAGTTACTCAGGAGGCTGAGATTTGAGGATCAAGGAGACTCTATTATCTCTAAGTAATCACCATAAAACACTGGATGTGTAGCTGTGGCTCAAGTGGCAGAGGATTAGTTATAAGCAAAAAAAGCTCAGGGACAGTGCTCAGGCCCTGAGTTTAAGACTGCATAAACAAACAAACAAACAAAATGAAAGAGGTTGAGTGTTGAGGTTCCAGAGATGGCAAAACTTATGTTTAAACTCCACTTCAGTGAACTATAATTATATTGCTAATAAGCCTTGAATGCAAGCTTCATGAAGTTGAAAATAAAATTTACAAAAGCTCAAAACATAAAAGCCAAGTTTATAATGGAAGATGAATTAGGAAGTTCCACTTTAACTTTATATTAAATTTGGAAAGATACTGCTTCCAAAATGTTCACAAAACTTTTTTCAAAAAATTATACCAAATTTTTTCCACAAAAGGTTCCTTAATTCATTTTATGCATGTAAAATGTGGATCAACTCAATGATGTGTGTTTTTTAACCCCTGAAAGATAGAAAAGACTTTAGATACT